TTATACTCACGCGCGTGAATCCTAATCTATGTAAATACTGTCTTCTCTCTCACTCTGCTATATTTACCTACAAGGTGTCACAATTTAATTTTTTTAAGACTTAAGTGAGAGATGAGAGCGTACTGAATGAATGAATGTTGCGGGTTGGTCTCACGATGGATACTGTGCTCACCTGCAAAGTCAGAGAGTATAGGTACCGGAATTTACCGAAAGTCCGCCCATCTAAATAAGGGCCCACGGGCGCTTATGAGAATACTACTTAAACGGGTTAAGAAGCAAATTAATACCTTATTAATTTCAAGCATTTGTTCCCACTGCAAAAAAATATGGAAGAAAGATGAGATTTAATGAGAAGAGTTTTACAGGGGGGGGGGGGGGGAGAAGAAGAAAAGAAACGTGGAGGAAGGAAGCAAGTTGGGAACCCATTTCATCATTACAGCTGGCACATGTGCACTGATATCGTGCCAAGGTCAGTTCCACCACATGGGAGATTATTCACACTGAGATCATATGAATAGTTGATTCCACAGGTAGAGAAAACAATGGAAGGGTGAAATGAATGGTGAGGTTAGCATCTACAATACCTTCCAGTTTGAATTAATTTGCTAAGCCAAATAACGGGAGTTGTGCAAAAGCAGAAGCTATTTTACAGGTAGACTGTCAATAGAATGACCTAATGCTCAAATGTATCTGATGCTGTTACAATGAGGAATTGGCTAAGCATTATTCATTTAAACTTAAAAGATCATGCCTACTTTCAGTTTTAATTATACCTCTTACGATTGTTGTAGAAAATTTGCCAATATGCAATTAACTTGGAAATGGAATTAACTAATTCTAATTTGTATGCAGTTATATAAATTAACTTTGCAGTGCACGAATAACACAAGTTAAATGCCTCGTTTGCCACCTATTTTTGGAACTGACTGAAAACTCGTATTCTGACACCCTATCTTGACGCTAGTTCGTGCGGGTGACTAACGATGGCATGACTGCCGATCAATAACACTCAGGTCTACCTTGATGTTGATCCTAAATATATCTAACAGAGCTCTTCAAATCTTCTGAAATCACATGTTTCCTTTAACCACAATGTAGCGAGTTTCGGATTATAAGCAAAGTTAAAGTATAGCACCAAATTACTTGGGATTATAATTATAATATAAGTAATAAGTGCGGAGACGATTCATACACACATTCATATACACTGCCTAGGATAAGATTATTAACAGAAGGGGAAGTATTTAAACATATGACTCACTTAGATAACACATTTTCATGGTTCAGTATTAGGACGCTGTGACTCATTACTAAATGAAATATATTGAGTGACAACAGCATAAGTGATTGGTTAGACAGCTTAACTACCCCCATAGACAATAGTTGCATTAGGGAAAACCACTGTGGTAACTTATCTGTACTTTGTAAGGTCAATAAACTTTCCCACCTCCATCTTCAGTGGTATTTCGTTATTATTTGCACACCCTGCTGTTTGTTGTAATGTCCACTTTAGTAAATTGTTTATTTAAGATATTGGATTGCTTCCAGCTTCACCTAGGGCGCTTTACCACTGACCTCACTTATTCCTAGACCTAAACTACCAAGGTGAGACAACCAAAGCCTTTCCTTTAGATGCAAGTATGGTGCTATTTACTTTGGCGACTATACACCATAGTTCTAATAGGTATATCACTGTTGCTGTCCCATATTGAGGATAGGATACTGAAAGCCACAAGGAGATATCGATCTGATTAATATCCATCATCCAAGTGAAGCTCCCTTTCTCTTCTCACACTCTTAGGAAACTTAAATTCCATTTACTTATTGAATCTGAGTGAATCATTATCATATCGGAACTGGATCACCATTATAGCCCTTCTATGAAGGGCTGCTAGATTAATCCACCCATGACCATCATCACTGCACTCAGAACGAGTATACAGAAGGCAATTAGAAACGACTTATTCAGTCAGTTGAATATACTTTAAATGAAAGCCCAATCTGTAGGCTCCACCGAAATCCATTTAATACCTTTTACCTTCTGTCTGACATACTTAACAGTTACATTTCTATCTAACCACTCATATCGAAGATGCAACTCTTGAAGACTAAGCAAGACACAAAATCAAAATCCCCTAAATTTGAACTGCATTAAGGTGATTTAATACAATTGCTTGCAATAATTGCACAGGATGAACCTACTGACCCCAGGTAGACTTCACGTTTAGACCGCCAACAGGTTTTAACATGACAGAAACTTCCATGTAAACAAGAAACAATGATTAAGAAATCAACATTTCAAATACCCAAAGATGAAATTATCAATATAAACTAAGGCACAAAAAGGATTCGTCGAGTTAATAGAGGAATGAAAGAAGAAGTTGTTACAAATAGTTATCACTAAAGCTAAAGAAAAAAGGAAGAGAAAAAGGAGTACATACAATAAGTGGGGAATTTAGAGTAGACTTAAGAAAAAAGACATTGAAAGAACTCGACGAATCGTCTCATCCAGTTTATTCGTCGTCGTCACCACGGAAATCTCCATAGTGCCAAATTAAATAACGCTTCTTCCTCGCTAGTTCCTCAGCCTCTGAGTAACTTACGCAAAGATCTGGAGGCATGCGGACGTTCTCCATGTAGACAAATCCGTTCGCAAGCATAAATTCAGCAACATCTTCGACATCCCCACCGGCAACTTGACTAGAACCAGCCTTATTTTGGTACACATGTACTATCACGCTTGGAACCGGGCGCTTGTCATCAGCACCACAGGGCGTTGGCACACCTTTATTAGTAGGGAATAAGCGAATCTAAAGAGAAATAAGCAAGATCAGAAAGGGCATCAATAGTACTAGACCAACTTAAGTAGCAACTCACGTCAGCATTCCGTGTCTTTTCACGAAGAAGGTTAAGTGCCGCAACTCTATCATCAGAGTCAATAGGTAGCTGAACGTAAGCAAGACGATATTCAGTTGCCAGAGCTGGAGCGCTTTTAAGATTGTCAGGTAAACTGGCAAACTGTGCAACACTCTTATTTATCGTCTCTTCATAACCATAGTCAATTAGAAGGACAGTGAAGGACTTAGGGTCCAAACGAAGTATGCGAGATCGACACCAACAACGTCTAAGTGGAGACATTACGGCACAAACCATACCCCTTCGAGGTTGGAAGTTGGAAACAGCCTCGGGACTAGGGAAACCTTGAGAATTGAGAGGTGCTAGAAGAGTGTTCAGTTTGCTAATCGCATCTCCCTTATACACAAAGAATCTAACTCCCGAATTCTTGCCAGTTGGTGGGTCAATCAGCTGACCATCTTCTCTCCAGATAGCTTTCGCCATAAAACCAGTAGCCTAAAAGGGGGAAACAGATGTACCACAAATCCCAAAAATAAAACACAAATGAACCAAATTAAAATTACTTGACGATCAGCTTTAGCTTTATTAAGAATTGCTTCATCCGGTAATGCGTCCTGAAGGTCTCTAACAAACATTAGACCATCAGATTGTTGAGTTTCTTGTTCCACTTCCTTTTGCTGATTAGCAAGCACTCCCTCGGACCACTTAGCTAAGATGGTACTGGATGACCACATTCCAAGATTATGCTGCCTAGCAAATTCCTCAGCATCCACAAGTTTGCGATAAAAGCTTGGCTCCCAATTGGTCACATAGCGGCTAACCGTGGCATAGCCTTTTGCAACAAGAACCTCACTTAGATTTTTACTTGAGATAAATTTTCCACCTTTCTTCGTTCTCTTATCACCAGCGAGGCTGACTTTTACTTCCGAACGGAGTCCGATATGGCCAATGAATGTACCCTGCTTATTGATAGAGGTCATTGTAAAGGTGACGTTTCGATGCATGACCAAATCATGAACGAATTGCTTCGCTTCATCCGCAAAGGCGTCTTCCTCTGGGTTAGGCTGATTTGATGCCTTCCTAAATGGTGAAAAACCCGAAATTTTAGCACAAAAGGAACTACAAACTACTAAAGGTCAATACTACTACCAAAAGACAGCTCAGAGTGCCTCATACCTGGCATACGGAATATCAATTCCAAAAGGCGAAATCGAACAAAGAAGGCTTTCCACTGTGATCTCCACTCGAAGTTTTGAGACAGAGAGTACATATTCTACCAAAGCGTCAACATTTTCTCGCCTTTGTAGAGTATGAGTGTAAGATTGTGGTTTGACGGTTTCACCAATTTCGATAACCTTGTGCACCCTTGGTTCTTTCTTTTTCTTATCAAACAGACCGACTTGTCGCTGCTCAGCTGTTGCTTCGGCCCTCAAAAGCGCGTCGTAATCTCTGGCCCTCGAATCAGCCTGATTGCGATAACGAACCACGGTTGCGAGGCCACGAGTTACAAGCGCTTCAGCAACATTTGCGTTATCAATAATGGTTGCATAAACACGTTCACTCAAATTGGAACCCTCAGGTTTTGGTTGAATGTAATCAACAAAAACTCTCACGTTTTTACCAATGAGACGTTTACGAAGAAATTCTCGAGCGTCGTACATCCAAGGAACTTGATAAAGTGGCCTAAATTGCCCCTGTTGTTGTTGAGGCTTTGTACCTTCAGCAGCACCTAGAGGCCTAGGAGGTCTAATACTAGAAAGAAAGAACTTTCTAATCTGACCATCTTGGCAACGCACAAGAACATTATCACCATTTCCAACCTCAACAACAGTTCCTGAATATTCGGTCTGCCCATTGGAAGTAGCTGAATCATTTTCGGCTTTACCTTCCTTACCGGATTGGCCTTTTGCAACCTGAGGCGGATTGAAATCCCTCCAAATCAGACGCCTGTTTTTCTTGGCAATTTGTTCTCTTTTCTTATACTCTTCCATACCACCAGCTTCCTTACTAACTATACCCAAGTTCCATTCCAAGCATTTAGCAAGACCTTCCTCAAGTAGACATAGAGCAATATTGCCATTTGGATGTAGGACACTTCCAACGAAGTTGTTATTCATTACCGACTCCAAAATGACTGTTACTTCACGCTGGAGCAGCCGCGACTCAACAAAAAATTGGGACTCAGTAGCAAAGGGCTCATTGATACGATCTCCCGCACTACCCTTGGAACCCGGTGTTTTAATACCCGAAAGAAGCAACAGGATACAATAATAAGCACCTTCAGGGTCACCATTAATTGGGAAGAGCATAATTTGCATTGAGCTGCCATCTCGAACATATTCAACTACACCCCTCAGATGCTTCTTCCCGAATTTATTGAAAAATTCAGCGGAGTCAGGTATGTTCCAACAGATTTTGCGAGGTGCTCCATCAGATGAATCGGACCAAATACCCTTTTTATTCAACTGTGCAGCTTCTTCAAGAGTAATAAGATCCTTTACTTTGCCCCTCTCGAGCATCGCAGGGCTCATGTTGCGTCTTACACGGGCAAGCCCTTCTTCAACAAGTAGATGGGCAAGATTCACCAAATTGCCGTCATCTTTAATGAAGATACTACCAAAGACACGTTCAATTAGCTCGCCATTGTCTACTGTGTAGTAAACCTCTCTGCCGATGACTTTCGAGCGAACAAGTTCACGAGCTTGCCAGGCAAATGGCTCATCAGAGGTATATTCACCGGGGCTAAGACGCTTTGCAACCTTGGGACAAGAGATGTTCGAGAGCACAACAACTCGTGATGCTGGGGGGCCATCTACAGCTCGATCACGAATAACAATCGTATCTCCAGAAAGCACCTGTGTACCAAATGAGTCATAGGTTAGTTAGACTTTCATATTAATTAAGCTAACAATCCACCGATGAGAAAAAATATGGTGTCTAAAGTTACATGTATTTACCAGCTTTCCAAAACCAAAATGTAAATCAGCGGTCGTCATCACCATTAACACGTTGTTTCAAGTGACGAATAAAGGTTTGAAAGTGTTAAACAAACCTCAATCAGGTTAAACAAAATTAACTCATTTTAGGTTCTGTGTGTGCTTTATGATATTATCTGACATATAAGCAAGTTGTTACACAATATTACACCTTAAATTTATTATATTGATTACAAAGGTCTTATTTTAATTAATGATTGTTTTTTTATCTGCCATGTGTTTTAGAAAATGCGGAAAATTTTTCCAATAGACATTTCGGTGTGCAGGCTTTGAAGTAGTCGGCATCAATCAAATTATAAAAAACTCGAATTTACCACCTGAAATGACTATAACTAACCCTCGGTTTTTGAACGAATGAGATTTATGTTAATCCGATTAAATTTATTTACATATTTATTGGGCGCATGAAAGAATGGCTAGAACCATTTTCAGCTATATTAATCTATATGATCAAATACATACACGAGACTCGAAAGTATTAGCACCTCTATTAGTGTCCGATATCACATATTTTTATAAACAAATTGAATGTCTAAAACAGGCCCCTTTAGGCAATCGTGTCGCTGAATTTTTCATATATTAAAGCATTATGTTTATTTACTATTACTAGAATACTTATGAAAATTATTTGAACTAAATAATAAAAAATCAACTGCTTTTCATTTTGTTATTTGCTATTGCTTTGGTACTTACTTTCAAGAAATCTTTCAGAAATAGTTTTTTATCTTTTGTTTTTTATTTCGAAAGATATTCAGCTGAATTTTTTATCGAAGAAATAAAGGGTTACACATTTCCATTAGTCTATTAAAATAAACGAAGATTTTAAAACTTTCAGCTCATTAACTTTGCGATGGTGGAGAGAAAGTATGTTGGGGATTTCCCGTTTAATCTAAGACTGCATTGTAGATCCATTTTTATTCTTTTGAAAACAGGACCGTAAGCTTTTGAAGTTCTATTTGATTAATTCAACAAAATGGTAGTATTGCTAGAACATATAATAAAATCGGTATTTTAATTTATTTAAAACCTATTAATTGATCATGATTTCATTTCGACCCATTGATTTGTCTTTTAAATTTAACTATCTTTGAAATACGCCGGCTTGATTCTGATCGAAGAAAAACAGTCGATATGGGTGCGTTCCCGAGCAAAATTAGAGCTGGTTCTGGTTAGGAAGCAGTTCTATTCTTTAAATGTTCGTTTCCCGAAGGTATATGAGAAGAATACAACAATCTTAGTACCTAGTTCCAAATTCAAATACCGGATTAACCGTCTTGTCTGGCATTTTAAAAGGCTGGAGATGTTATAATGTTGCATGTGGCTTACAATTGGTATATCAGTTCGCATTATCTTTGTTTCTCGCTGTGCAAATTTCTTCATACCACCATGTTTGAATTTACCCAAATAATTTTCAAAAACTATTGTGAAAAAATTACTTAGTTTTTTTTCTTGCAGATTTAAACATCTGAAACTTTTTTAGATTTTTGCTTATTTTCGAATCGTTCCACGTAAAACCAATACATTTACTCACTTTAAAAGTCCAGTGTGATTTCATTGTTTGACTTAACTGATTTTACCCATCGCGCTACTGTTTGTATACCGTTATCAGCTTTTAGTCATATTTTACGCAAAACCCACACTTGACTCTGCGGAATTCTGATTCCTGTTTGTAAAAAAATTCAGTGAGAAGCAAACTCGGCGAACACCACTACATTTATATACAGGAATCATCTTTCAAGTAAGTCCTTTTTGAAGTGCACTTTAAAGTAAGTCAAATCAAGATGAGAGAATATAAAGTTCGCAAGACCAAAATAGGTGCCAGGTCAGCACATCAGTACCTAATTATGAATGGTGGATCAGTATCGTATTTTTAATTCGCATTTGATGTGATCCTATGTTGAGTTCGAACTATTGTAACAGCTTGAGCGAATAAAATATCGAAATCGTTTAAATTTGCTCATTTGTTTGGAAGGATAGCAAAAGAAGAAGAAATTTGGCAGATTTGCACTCTTCAGTTGTAAGGAATGAAATTTGTGTTTTGCATCCCTCTACCGGCCCAGGAATAGAAGGAAATTTTAGCATGACTAAGTTGATGGAAAATTAAGAATCACTTTACTACCGTAAATAAGGCGATGGATGTAGTTAAAAAATGTCGGATAGAAGCATTCTCCAATCATCTATGTCTCGGCTGGTCTCATATGTGGCCATTAGGGAATACAATTAATTCAAAGATCCACGACTAAGCAATTAGATGCTATCGTAAGATTGTCATTTAATGCACTTTTGATGGCTAACAAAGTTGCAATAAATGCATGGCTTGCAAATTTTTTAAATTTGAAAGGAGGTTCCTCAAATCCATAAAATCATTTTCTTGCGTTGGATAAACCAGACAAAGAATAACAAGGGCTGGAACGTCCTTTTGTTTCTGAATTTCCCCCTCCCCCATAGGAAGAAGGAGTAGCTGTGGGATTGCCCTTAGTATATATGCTTTGATATGAATGTGAATCTTTATGTAAGTACTCTCAATTCAAGGTCATTCAACGAAATGAAGGGAAAATATTTTCCTGAATATGAACTATTCGGGTAATCATTTGCCAGTATATTGCGTTTCACCGGTCATTTTTCTCGCTGCCAAATTCATCAGTCTAAATCGTTTTATAGCTCAGTACTAAATATCTACTAATGAAATAAAGTTCAGAAGTTCAAATCCTTTGGTGAAAAGGAATATGTGCTCTTAAATTAATGGCAAACTGTTATAAACCAACCAATAAAATAACTGAAAAGACCAACAAAATTGAAAATAAACAACTGTCTTGATTTTAGATTAAAATATCATTTATAGCCAATGACAGGCTTTATGATTATTATCAATAGACCCTTAGTTGACTTCGGGTTTCACAAAGGGGAGGAACATTAAAGTGGAGTGGGGGAACAGAAGAGTGATTTACAGATGTAAAAGAGACAGACAAACGTAGAGAAAAGATCAAGTGAGTTCTGTCTAAGAGGTTAACTGTGACATACAGTCGGGACATGGTAGTTTGAAGACAACTGTCGGTTTATAGACATTTTTGCCGTGTGAGTATCCGTTCCCCAGGGTGCCTTACGTGGATGTAAGTCTATCGCGCACTCCGTTTTCAATATAATAATGAAAAATAGATTTCCAAAGCCTTGAAATACTGAATGACCTATATATACAAGTTAAATTAAAAAATTTCAAATTTATTACTTGATATTAGTGCACACGGCAAAAAACGACATTTTTAATTATGGGGAACAAGCGAAATCTATTGATACAGAATTCACTAGATGATAGAGGAACAAGGGATAAAAAGTGCTGTGGATAACGCCAAGGCAACCATGAGTGGTACTCCACTTGATTTTCGATTTTTATTGTGCAATATTTAATTAATGGGCAGATTACTTTGATGAATTCTAGCATCGCTGATCTTCTCTATACCGTAGTAAACAGTTTTTCATGTTTTTCACTCTTTATTGATTTTTTTGATAAGGAATGGTTTGTTTACTCATTTCAATTAACTCATATTCTCTTGGTTGAAGGGGTTAATTTAGCCATATAGCCTTTCAACAGACCGTTATTTTAGTTTAGTAGAGATAAGATGGCTAGAAATTTCAGCTTAAGATTTTCATTAAATTATAATTAAACTGTTATTGAATCAATCTTATTATAACTCCTACTAAAGGGAAATTCGGAACGTTAATCTATAGTTGCATTTTGGAATAAGGACTTATAAATTCACAGGTCTTTAAGTCTTAAAAGAAAGTTAGTCAAACTGAAATGAGGTAATATTACGCTTTTGTGACATGAAATTCATTTCAGAGAAAAAAATTTGTTTTTATTTGCAAAAAAACAAAAAGTTACTGATGCCATTTTTACCAATTTTAGGCCATCAGTCAAAGTAGGCCAAAGGAGAAGCTTCAAAAATTCAAAAATAGAAGAAAGTTTTGTTCAAAGTTAAACGTGGCTCCATTGACTATTTTACTATTTCTTGCTTCGATTAATTCCAAACAATCTTCCCAAAGTACATTATTTATAGTACTCACGAAATAAGTCTAAATCCATTGAAAGGGAGTCGTTTGAACAAAACTTGTAGACCAAGCATTATTAGTACTAAAATTAAGTACGCTGTAAAAGCACCTGAAATTGTAACTTTTTTAAAGGGAATAGTCCATTATAACTCATTCAATTACTTTATTTGGGACAATTCGATTGTTGAGTTTGGCGTAAATAACAAATTCTAGGTAAATTTCAGTCAAATGACATAGCAGATTCGACAAAATTTATCACCGATGTGCCTGATTAGTAGTTAAATTATGAATATATTGAAATAAAAATTTCATAAGTTGAGGACGTTTTCTACTCTAAGCTTATAATTTGGTAAGACTATTATTTCACAGTCGCTGCAGTAGCGGTTTTAAACCGTTACAACTAATCCCTGCTCAAATTTGAAAAAATAACAAAATTTTGTTGAAGTTATTTGAATATGAATTAAATATAAAATAGCCCATACCATTTAGGATTGCACTTAAATAAGAATGAATTCTTTTTTTAAAATTCTAATGAAATAAATTAAATTGCATTGTACATTTTTTATCTCTAATGCATTGGATTATCAGTTATTGGTTTTTACGCGCTTACACCTGAAAAACAGTCATCAATTCGCATACTGACAAGTCGGTCAACGAGGAATGCTCTCTTGAGCTACAAGATTTCGCTTTTCACCTCTGAGTTTGAGTGTCGTTTGCATTTATAGAGGACAATTGAAAAGTTAGGGAATTTGTATTGACAATTTCTTCTGAGGTGTCCATTCGGTGGTGTTTTAAACAAACAACGTTAATTAGAAGTTGGCATCATTATAAACTATAAAAAAAATAAAAATCAAACTTACAAATGGAAAAGAATGCTAAAACAAAAAAAAATTATGTTCACAAATTTATGCAGTTCACTCTCTTCACTAAGCCGAGACCTAGAAGTAAATCCT